GCCAAGGTGTTCCTTTCAGAGCTTATCCAGGACTTTTAACAATTCCACTAGATATTTTTTGCAAAGATAAGTTCCTTTCTCGCTTATCCCGAGATCATATTCCTGCTAAATTTAGAACGGTGTTCCTTTTCGACTTAATCCGGACTTTTATTCCAACATAGTATAATTTGACAGGTACCTGTTCCTTCTGCGCATTATCCGCGACTTATTATTCCACTGATAAATCATTTGACCCGACAGGTGCCTTCCCTTTCAGCTAACCTATCCAGGTACTTTTATTCCCTAGATATTTTATGCAGGTCAGTTCCTTTTCGCTTATCCGGACTTTTATTCCCTGATATTTTACGGTGTTCCTCTTCGCTTTTGCCAAGAAAAACAAGGGGGACAAAAAAAAAAAGTGTTCCTTTTCACTTAAATCCGGGACTTATATATCCCTGAATATTTTGCGGATGCTTCCTATTTCGCTTTATCGCGGAACTTTTAATTAACCCGATTCCATTTTTGCGGTGTTCCTATTTCCTTATCCGGAACTTTAATTCCCCTGAATATTTTTGCAGAATGTCCTTTTTCGCCTTAATACCGGACTTTTATCATCCCTAGATATTTTGCGGTGTTCCTTTTCGCTTATCCGGACTTTTATTCCCTGATATTAATATGACAACGATGTATACCTCTCTTTCGCTTTATCGGACTTTAATTACCAAACCCTGAATATTTAGCACAAGGTCAACAAAACAACCATATGTTTACCTCTCGCTCAATATCCGGGAACAATTTTAAACTTCCCTGAATATTTTGCGGTGTTCCTTTTTCGTATATACCGGACTTTTAATTCCCTTAATTTTACAGGTGTTCCTATTTCAGCTTATCCGGACTTTATTACCCGAATTATTTAAAACAAGAGAAATAGTCTCCTTAATTGACTTATCCGGACTTTACTATCTCCCCTGATATTTTATAACAAGGAAGTTCCTTTACAGCAATATATACCGGGAACTTTATTCATTCCCCATGCTCCTAATTTTAAACGGACAATGTTTCCTTTTTCGCTAATCCGGAAGTATATATCCATATACACAACAATAGATTTATTTATGAACACAAAGGCCTAGTATCCTCTTCGCTAATCCGAGAACATTCATTCACCCTGATATTTAATGCAGCAGGTGATTCCTTATCGCACACTACCTATCCGGACTTTTATTCCCTTGAATATTTTGCACAAACACACCGCGTGTATCCATCCTTCGACATTATCCGGAACATAATTGATTCCACTAAGAATAATTTATGCAATCAGGAAAACAAAATGAATCCTCCTCTTATCGCTTATCCGGACTTTTATTCCCCCTGATTAATTTTGCCCGTGTTCACTTTTCGCAAATTAATCCGGACTTATTCACTTTCCCTGATATTTTGCGGTGTTCCTCTCGCTTCTGATTTATTTGTTCTTGCGGGTGGTTACCTTTCCCGCTTATCCGACTCATACCTATTCCCTGATATTTTAACGGTCGTTCCTCTTATCGCCTTATCCGGATTTTTATTCCCTGAATCCAATTTACAAAAGGTCCATTCCTTTATCGCAATACATAATACCCGGAATTTTATTCACCCTGCCCATTCATTTTAAGACAACCACCAGGTGTTCATCTTCGAGCTTATCCGGACTTATTATTCCCTAATATTTGCAAAACCCGGTGTCTAACCTTTTTCGCTTATCCGGACTTACTTCTAGACTATTTACAGGTGTCTTAGTCGCTTAATACACGGACTTTTTTTATTCCCTGATATTTTATGCACAAGATGTTACACTTTTCCGAACAATATCCGGACTTCTATTCTACTGATATTTTACGGCGATTCATCATCGCTCTATCCGACTTTTATTCCCTGCACTTTACGCGATTGTTCCTTCTTCGCTATATCCGGACATTTATATCCCTGATATTTTTGCGAAAGATTGTTTCCTTTATTCGACCATAATCCAAGCACTATTAAATTATTACCTGATATCCTTTGCAAACACCAACGGTGTAATACCTCTTCGCTATAGACTGGACTCTTTATTTCCCTATTATTTGCAAAAGCATGTTCACTCTTCGCTATATCCAACTTTAATAATTCCACATGAATATTTTGCCCAAAAAAAAACAGGATGTTATCCTATATTACGCACTTATCCGGACTTTTAATCCTCCCCTCCATATTTTGACGGCATGTTCCTATTATCAGCATACCAATTATCCGGACTTATATTAATTCCCCTGATTATTTTACAGGGTTAACATCAATCGCTCTATCCAACAACATATATGGAATAAATATACCCTGATATTTTTGCCGAGTGCATCCTATATAATTCGCTTTATCCGGACTTTTCCATTCCCTGATAAAATTCCCATAGCAAGAGCGATGTTTCCTCTTCGCTTAATCCGGACTTTATTCACCACCCACTGATAAAATTTTGCACAGTTGTTACCTTTTCGCTTATCCGGACTTCATATACCACTGATATCCATTTGCGGTGAATGCTTCCTTTTCGCTCCTATCCCGGACTTTTATTCCCGATATTATTTTCGCCAACAAGGATGTTCCTCTTCGCTTATCTCGAGACTATTTATATCCCTATATTTATAAACAGGTTATCCTTTTCGACTATCCGGCACTTTTATCCCCTGAAAATATTTTATAAAAACCAAAAAAAGCGTGTTCCTTGTCCAGCTATAATCCGGACTTATATATATACACAATGAATGTTTAGCAATAGTTCCATTTACGCCATCTACCAGAGGCCCTTTATAATTCCAACATAATATTTTTCGGAAATATTCATCTTACAGACTTATCCCGGACTTTCCTATTCCCTCGATATGTTTTGCCAGAGCTGATGTACACTTCTAATCACCTTCTCCGACTTTTATTCCCTTAGATGCGATTTATCAACGGTAAAAAAAAACTAACATGTTACCACTTCTATCGCTTATCCGGAACATTTATAGGCCCTGATAATTTAGCCAAGGAACAAAAAATGTTCCCTCTTCGCTTTATCCGGACTAATTTATACCCTGATATATTTAAACGGTAGTTCCTATTTCGCTTATCCGGACTTTTCTTCACCTCGATAATTTTTGCAGATGTTTCCTTTCAGCTTAACTCCGGAACTATTTAAATATTCCACATAATAAATAATTAACGGGCTAGTTCCTAATATCGCTATATCCGAGAGACTATATTTATTCCCTTTGATATTTTGCTAACAAAAAAAAAAAAAAACCAAAACACAAAACAAAGAAAAAACAAAACGACTCTCACTAATATCAGAATATTATCAAGACTTCTTATCCCTGATAACTACGGTGTCCTATTCGCTCTATCCAGAACTAATTTATCCCCTGAATAAATCCGCAGTGTTCCATATTTCGACTTATCCGGACTTTTCAATGTCCCTCGATCACCTTTCGCAAAAGCTAGTACCATATATATCAGCAATTATCCGACTTTTATATCCCCATGAATATTTTGCAGATGATTCCCTTATATCACCATAATCACGACTTATATCCTCAATCACAACACAACACAAACAAAACACATGAAGTAATTTTACGGATCTGATTCCCTTTATAACGTTATACCGGAACCATTCTATAATCCTAACCCTGAATAATATTGCAGTGTTCCTATTCGCTATCCGGGACTTATAATATCCACTACGATATTTGACGATTTTCCCTTAGTCCAAGCTTATCCGTGACTATTATAAATATCCCTGATATTTATATGCCAAAGGATATCCTATTTTCGCTTATCCGGACTTTATAATCCTCATGAAATAATGACAAAAAAAAAGGTGTTCCTATCTATCGCTCATATACACGAAACTTTCTTCACACTAGAAAAATAAATTATGAGCAAAAAAGAGATGTTCACATATTTCGACATTATATCCGGACTTTTATTTCCCTGACAAGTATTTATACCCAGGCGTATCCTTCTGCGCTTTATCCGGATTTTAAAGATTCGCCTGATATTTTGCGTTGTTTCCCTTCCGATATTATCCGAGAACCAACATATATCTTACCCTAGCTATTTATCAACCGTGTCCCTTGCCTTACAGCTCTATCCGGACTCATTATACCTTCTCCTGATAAACCTATTTGACGGTGTTAACCTTTTACAGCTATATCACGGACTTTTCTTCCTCCTGATATTTAACCAAAACGGTAAACGAAACAATGAGTTACCTTATACGTATCCCGGACTTGTATTCCCATAGATATTTTGCAAGGTCTCTCCTATTTACGACATACCACACGGACTTTATTATATCCCAACATCCGAAAAAACCTATTATACACAGTGTTTACCATAATTTCGGCTTTATTACCGGACTATTTATTCCCTGAATATTTAAAACAAAGGATGATTCCTTTATCGCTAAAATTAATCACGACTTATTAATTCCCTGAAGTTATATTATGCAAAAGAGGTAGTTCCTTATTCGACTATTCCGAGACTTAATTCATTCTTGATATTTTTACGGTGTTCCTCTTCGCCTTATCCGGGAAACTTAATTATTCCCTGATATTTGACGGTGTTCAACTTTTCAGCTTATCAAGACTTTTAATTCCCATGTATATTTTACACCAGGATTATCCTTTTCGGCTATATCCGCGACACTTACTTCTATTCCCCTGATATTTACACCAACAAAGGTTGTTCCTTTTCCCGCTTACTCCAGGAGACTTTTCATCCCTGAATATAATTTACGGGTGTTCCCTCTACCCTCGCTCATCTCGGAACTTTTACATACACTCATATTTGGACAAACACGTGCTCTCCTACATTCCGCATCATATCCCGGACATTCCCTACCTTACCCTGAATAAATTTTCGCGCGTGTTCCTCATCGGCCTACACATCAAGCTGTAAAAATGGTATGATTGGTCAGTAAATAAATATACACATATATGGAGACAGAGTGGATCGAGTATGTGCTGTTATGGGTGGTTGTTGGCTTGTTTGAAGCGGTTGTTGGAACTTGGTTGAAGCGGTTGTTGGGCCTTGTTGCTGCGGATTGTGGCTTGTTTGCTTGCGGTTGTGGCTTGTTTGCGGCGGTTGTTAGGTCTTGTTTGCTGGCGGTTGTTGGCTTGTTTGCTGCGGTTGTTGGCTTGTTTGCGCGGTTGTTGGCTTGTTTGTGCTGCGGTTGTTGGCTTGTTTGCTTTGCGGTTGTTTGGCTTGTTTTTCTGCGGTTGTTGGGCTTGTTTGCTGCGTCTGTTCTTGCTTGTTTGCTGCGGTGTTGGCTTGTTGCTGCGGCGTTGTTGGCTTGTTTGCTGCGGTTTGTGCGCTTGTTTGCTGCGGTTGTTGGCTTGTTTGCTGCGCGTTGTTGTGTTGCTGCGTGTTGGCTGTTGCTGCGGTTGTGGCTTGTTTGCTGCGGTTCGTTGGCTTGTTGCTTCGGTTTTGTTGGCTTGTTTGCTTGCGGTAGTTGGCATTGTTTGCTGCGAGTTGTGCTTAGTTGCTGCGGTTGTTGGCTTCGAGTACTGCTGCTGGTGTTGGCTGTTTGCTGCGGTGTGTTGGCTGTTGCTGTCGGTTGTTGGCTTTTGCGACCGTGTTGGCTTGTTTGCTGCGGTTGTTGGCTTGTTTGCTGCGGTGTTGCTTGTTTGCCTGCGGTTGTGGCTGTTTGGCTGCCGGTTGATGGCTTGTTTGCTGCGGATTGTTGGCTTGTTTTGCTGCGGTTGTTGGCTTGTTTGCTGCGGTCTGTTGGGCTTGTTTTGCCATGCGGTTGTTGGCTGTTTGCTGCGGTTGTTGGGGCTTGTTTGCTGCGGTTGTGGCTTGTTGCTGCGGTTGTTGGCTTGTTTCTGCGTTGTGGCTTGTTTGCGCTGCGGTTGTGGCTTTTGCTGCGGTTTGTTGGCTTGTTTGCTGCGGTTGTGGCTTGTTTGCTGCGCTTGTTGGCTTGTTTGCTGCGGTTGTTGGCTTGTTTGCTCGGTTGTTGGGCTGTTTTGCTGCGGTTGTTGGGCTGTTGCTTGCGGTTGTTGGGCTTGTTTGCTGCGGTTGTTGGCTTGTTTGCATGCGGTTGTTAGACTTGTGCTGCGGTTGTTGGCTATGAGCTTTGCCTTGCGGTTGTTGGCTGTTCTGTGGTTGTTTGGTTGTTGTTGTTTGTTTGGCAATTATTGTATTGTTTGGTTTGGTTTTGGCTCGGCGTATATCTGTTCATTTCCTCGTCTTATTTTTTAATTCTATTCTCTGAGTTCCTTAATTTCCCGACACATGCCATGAATCTTATTAGCCGTATGTTTCTGGCTTCGTTATTGCGTATTTGTTATTCTTAAATACTCGAGATTGAGTATATTATATGTGTGTTCGACTTGTCTATCTATTTCATATCCTGTATATTTATAATACTCCATAAACTTGTTCCAAAATTATATTTTGATTTACTATATTTAAACCCTTCTGGTATGTTATCCTTGTTCCTGTCATTATGTCGATTCTTTGTCGTTTTGTGTTTGTGAGTTTAGGAATCCTCATTCAATTACCTGCTCCTTTTTTTTATTTCTTGTTATCCTTCCTAATTTTGATCCTACTGATTATTCCATTAGTGTCATTGCTTGTTTGTCTTTGCTCGTATCTTTCTGATTCATATTTCTTAGGACTGAGTGCATTCCGTTTCCCGATACCCTTCCAATCTGTGTATTTATATATTTATAATTATTACAACATGTCTCAGTTTCTTATACATTTAAAATAAGCGTCCAGAGGTCTGATCTTAACTTTTGATCCTCGAACCACGAAATAATTTCGTATGCCCTCTTTTCTTCTTTTTTTAACCACTTTAACATTTTCATTTTCTTGTCTTCCTTAATCCTCCTTTCTCTTCTTCTATTTTCTTCTTTTTCAATTTACTTCCACCAAAAGTTTATTTTAGAATCTCATTTTCTTTCACACGATCATCAAACATTCCCCCCTTTCTGTTATCATCCAATTAATTACATCATTTCCCTATCATTATTATATCATTATCACCATCTTTATCGAGATTACCGAGTAAAGATCAAAGAAACAAGAAAAAAAACAAAAAAAACATTCCCCCATTTCTGTGATATCATTATTATCATTTCCCCTCTTTATATCATCATCTCTTATCGAGATTACCGAGAAAAGATCAAAGAAACAAGAAAAAGAAACAAGAAAAAAAAGTGAAATGTGGAAGGAGGTCAGTGATAGCCACCGAGAGGGTCGCTGTCTAACCTGATTCACTTCAATGGCAAACGAGAATGTCTTTCTTACCATTTACCGAAAAAAGATACAATAAAAAGAGTAAAAGTCACTTTCATAATCGAAGTAAGGATCTTTCTCCTATCAGATTTTATTAGAATTCTGATATATATAATAATATATTTTTTTTCTCTTATCTCCTGTCTCTTTTTCTTATCAAATTTTATTAGATATTCCATTTTTTGATAATATTTTCCTCATCTCACGTACTCATTATATAATATATCAAGATTTATATATAGAATATTTCCATTTTTGCTTCATATATTCTACACATCACCCTCATCCTGTCATACTTTTTTCTTAATCAAAATATCAGTTATTAGTATTTACCTATTTTTGAATTTATATTTCCTTATTCTCCTGTCACTATTTTCTTAGGTCAAAATTTATTAGTAATTATCCGCATTTTAAAAAATATATTCCTATAAATCTACCAAATAGAGTCTAACTTAATTAAAACAATTCTTATCAAATTTTATTATTTCTGATTTTTTATTAAAAATATTTACACTAATTATTCTCCTGTCTCTATTAATATTATCTTAAATACAAATATATTATAATTTCTGATTCTTTAAAAATATTTCCCTTATACTACCTGTCTCTTTTTCTTATCAAAATTTTATATTCTGATTTTTAAAATATTTCCTTATAATCTTCACTGTACTCTTTTTCTATCAAATTATTATTTCTGATATTTATAAAAAATATTTGCGTTATCTCCTGTCTCTTTTTCATTATTCAAAAATAATTAATTAAGCTTTCTGATTTTAAAAATATTTTCCTTATCTCCATAGTCATACGATAA